CCCTGAGATTGTCCTCGCTTTTTGCGCGCCCATCTTAGGGATAGGGGTAATGATGGGCTTGTTTTCCACCACCACCACCACCATAAGTTCGAGGGGGGAAGGAGGAGGAGGGCGAGGAGGAGGAGGACGAAGAGGAGGAGGAGGACGAAGAGGAGGAGGAGGAGGAGGAGGAGGAGGAGAAAGAAGAGGAGGTGGAGGAGGACCCCCCCTCCAACTCATGGTGGTGGTGGTGGTGGAAAAACGCCCCATCAGATAAGTTCGAGGCTGGTTACCAGCCCGGCGCGGAGGGGGGGGGCGGCTGACGCCGTCGCCACCGCCGGCCGCCGTGCCGCGAACGGGGCCGAGGTGGCGGGCCGCGGAGGCCTCGCGCCGCCTGCGGGCCCCGAGGGCCTGGTATTACATGAATCAGGAAGGGAAAAAACACACAGACACAATGAATCGTCGACTCCCAGGAAAATATGGGAAAATATGGGAAGTGGGGGGGGAGACACAAATCCAGAAAATATGAGAAAATATGGGGAATAGTTTTATTTGTGTGTATTTATTTGTGTGTTCCAGTTCCCCTTCAATTACATGAAGTCGGGCGCGTCTCTCTACAGGAGGAAGGCTCAACAATCATCAAAAAAAGTTTGGGGACGATGTCTCGAATCTGTGTTCTTTGCTATTTTTGAGTCGTACTTGGCTATGTTCTATTTTTCTTCTTCTTCGAAAGTCCGGCTGCAGCGGGACATGCCCGACCTGAGCGGTGCACGGGCCCCAGGACCGTCGGAAAACATCTCGCGAGGAAGAACGGGTCCTGGGTCCCCAGGGGTCCAGGTCGGGCGGAGCTCGGACAGGGATAAATCCGTTCCAGAGCGTTCCTGATCGCTCTCAGAGCGTTCAGGAACGCTCTGAGAAGGCCACGGGGCCCGAGACCTCCTCCAGAGCCGCCAGATCTCAGAGGTTTTCGATTTCTCCTCACCCGAATTGATCCTCGTCCCAGCTTCTTCTTAACTGGGGCCAGCACCCGCTTCCCTCAGGAGCCGATCCTGTCATGCCCGAGCAGCTTCCTTGCCCGCCGCCGATGTCGCCGCCGCCCGCGCCTCTGCTGGTGTCGCCGCCGTCGGCGCCGTCGCCGGCGTGGTCGTCGCCGTCGTTTTCGTCGCCATCGTGGTCGTCGTCGTCGTCACATTCCCGTGCCGTTTTTAATACATGCTCCGCGTGCGGATCATGTATTAAACATGCAGGGTTTAGCATTATAAAAAAAACAACGATGAATTCATGCATAAATTTGTTCCCAAATTCATCATGTATTAACATCCTATATCTTTGAAAATCCTATGTATTAAAAACTGCCCTGTCCTGATTCTGGCCTCCGCAGGGCCCGTGTCGGGCTGCGGCCCCCCGGGGTTGTGAAGAGACGGTGCTCGGCGAGATGCCGGGGCCCATCGCAGAAGAGCCGTGGTGTCGCACGTCTGGGGTCGCCCTCGTCGTTGTCGTCCTCCTGGGAGCTTCCATTTCGATGGCCAGAGTCTGAAGAGACCCGCTTCCCATCCGTAGCTGTTGGGATGGGACGTCTTGGATGCAGGGCCGTACAGCGCGAGAAGAGCTCAGGCGGGAACCCACTTTGAGAACGATCCGTGCTCCGTGGCGTGCACTTGTTGGGCAACTCGCGTGTCAGCAGCACAGGCTGTTGCGAAGTCGCGGGACGAGCGCCCGGAGCGCCCTACCTCTACGTCGCGTGGTGCACCGAGGAGTGTCCCGACGCAGCAGAACGACGACGAGGACGAGGACGAGGACGAGGACGACGACGACGACGACGACGACGACGACGACGACGACGACGACGACGACGACGACGTGGGGAGAGCGGACGGGGAGGGGAGCCGCGTCTGGGTGCCGTGCGGCGGGTGGGCCCAACGAAGGTGTGGGGAAGGGGGCGAAGGGCGAGTGGGGCAGCGGCGGGGGGAGCGGCGAGGGGCGCGGCAGGGGGACGACTGGGGCTGCCTGGCCACGGGACGCGGCGAGGGAGGGCAGGGTGGACGGAGGAGGGCCGGGGGGAAGAGGGAGGAAGGAGGAGGGTGGAGGCGAGTGAAGGAGGAGGAGACGGAGGAGGAGACGGAGGAGGAGGAGGAGGAGGAGGAGGAGGAGGAGGAGGTGGAGGAGGTGGAGGGGGACGGAGGGAGGAGGGGCCAGGAGTGCACGAGGGTGGAGGGAGGAGGGCCAGAGGATGTGGAGCTGGAGCAGGAGGTGCACGGGGGACGGAAGGAGGAGGAGGAGGAGGAGGAGGTGGAGGAGGAGGAGGAGGAGGAGGAGGAGGAGGAGGAGGAGGAGAAGAAGGAGGATGGGGACAGGATCGAGAATCGAGGATCTCGGGCGTTTGGGGTTTTCTCATGGGCCCAGGGAGGCCTCCTGGGACCTCTAGAAGAACCCGGCCGGAGGGACTTGCGGGGGGGTCGGAGCGGCGATGGCGCACGGCCCCACCCTCTCCACAAGGTGTCCTGACGGCCTCCGGCGCGTCTGTTGCCGCAGAGTTCTTCGAGCGGGGCGCCGCCAAGAGGGGGCCCGTGGCGCACAGCTGCGGCCCGCAGCCGCCGCTGCTGCCGGGGGGCAGCCAAGCGGGGGGGTGGACGATTCGGGGGCGGCAAAGAAGGGGGTAATGACTAGGGCGGGGGGGGGGGGGGGATATCATGGTGGGGGCCATGGTGCGTCCCCAGATCTCATGGCGCCGCTTCTCCCGCCTCCCCTCGTGGGCGCCCCCCTCTTGGACGCCCCCGAACGACTGCGGTCAGGAACCTTGGCTCAGCGCGTCGCGCCGCCAGCCCTGGCCCGCCACGTCTCGGCGCGACACGCTGTCCACGCCCTGGTCTTCAAGCGTCAGCGTCCCGAGTTTTCCCCAGGCAAGGAGCTCTGCGGATCCGAGCGACATGCTATCCGCATGCGGGGCAGTGGGGCACAGCGTGTCGCAGGGGCCGCCGCCGCGACACGCTGAGCAAAGCATCCCGACAGCATGAGGAGGGTGATGTCCAGCTGCCAGCGGCAAGACCCGCCATCGTGCCTGTGCAACGGCGCATCAGGAAGGAGACCAAGTGCAGGAATAGCGCAATTCCGACGCCTGGTATGTATGAGTTGAGTCGGGCCGTGAACTCGACCTGGTCTTCGTCCGCGCGGCAGGGTGGAGGTAGAGTTACCCCCCCCGCTGCAGTTCAGCGAGCGGTCTGAATTGAGGCGGGTCGTGAATTCGACCTCATCTTCGTCCGCGCGATTGGGAGGAGGAGAATAAAAAGAAAAAAGGTGCAGGAGGAGGAGGAGGAGGAGGAGGAGGAGGAGGAGGAGGAGAGTGAGAAAATTAGTACAAGGAAGATAAGGAAGAGGTGGAGGAGGAGGAGAAGTCGGAAACACAATCAGGTGAGAACCTCAAAATCCTTCCAAATACCCGAAGGAAATCAATGTGTTCCGCCTCCTGGGGCTCTCATGGAGGAGCCCTCTCGGGCAGTCTTGGAAGCCTCTCGGGCCGTCTTGAGGCCGTTTGGCCGTTTGGGAGCTTTTTGTACCGTCTTGGGCCATATTGAGCCGTCTTGCTGTCATGGTGGCTGTCTTGGAAGCCATCTTGAGATACATCTTCGCCGTCTGGAGGCGGAAAATATCGCCGCAAAGAAAATTCAGAGGGGGGGGGGCGGGAGCGTTTTTTAGGGGTGCGCGAAGGGAGGGGCGATCGGTTTCAAAGACCAGTACAGAGAACAGTACAAATCCTTCCAGCCAGCAGACGAGCATTCTAACACGCCACTCCGTACAGGCACGGTTGCGGATCACGGCCGGGGTCATCATCTCTCTTCGGAACCTTTTTTTAGCCCCCCCCCCACCCCACCGTGGGCAACGCACGTGCCTCGGGCCGCCCCGGGCCATGATTTGAGAGTCCCCTCCTTGGACGCCCCCGACGCTGACCCTGACGTCGGGGTGCCGCGAGCAGCACACAGTGGGCCCTGCGATCCGGTTCGGGCCCCAGGGCCCTCGCGGATCACTGTGGCTCGAGAAGCCCGTCGGGAACTTCGCCGCCAGTTGTGGCCCACCATGCTTCGGCGCGGCACGCTGACCACGCTAACCACGTCCTGGCCCCCAATCCTCCCGCCCAGCAGAGCAGAGCATACCGCGACACGCGAAGCAAAAGCTCCAAACCGTATTTACTGCGGGGTTTTGGTAGTGATTCTCACGGCGTCGTGATTGTTCAAGACTTCGGTTGTACCATTGCTATTGCCAGCGAGCCCCAGCATTCGAGCTTTTCTCAAGCCTTCCCCTCACATCGAATCGTTGCCGCCGCCACTGGAGACAAAGTCTCCACGACAGTCATCCCACAGCCATACCACTATCATGACTACCGTATCTACTACAATTACCTTTACGAGCAACATTGGTCGCTGCCACCTCAGCAGCGGGGATGCTGATCGTGCCTTCCTTTCAATGTGGCAGCCACCATGCCCCATCATCACACTCGCCGCAATCACCGCCGCTTCGATGAGCGTTGCTGCTGTCAGTGCCACGTACCGCCGCGGGCGCCACCGCTTTCCCGCCGTCAGCGCAGCCCAAGTGTTGGGTGACGCCTGTCGCCGCCGACGAGCGTCGCAAGTCTAGGCTCGAGCGTCTGGCCAGCCAAAGCGCTGCGCGAATCGCCCCCAGATCCCACGGCGGCGCAGGACGGGGTCTCGCACGGGCGTGGTTGCAACACCCTCGTTCGAGGGGTCCCCTGCCTCCGTGCTCCCACCGCTTCGCTCCTCCCCCGTCGTTGCCCCCATCCTCAACCTCACAGTCTACGTAGGTCTGCACCTGTTCCCCCTATTCCTTCTGCCTCCTCCTCTCCTCCCCTTTTTCTCCCCCCACCACCCCCTTTACAGATTCCGCCGCCTCCTTCTCCTCCTCATTCTCTTTTCTCCTCTCTCCGCTTTATCCTTACGCACCTCCTCCTACGGCTCCTCGACTTCCCTGCTTCTCAGCACCTTCTTCAACGCCCTACCGCCAGCCAGAGACAGAGCGCATCCGTGCCATGAGTGACACGCCCAGGCCGACGTGCATACACAGCCCGAGCGCCACGTGACCTTGGTACCACTGGTGGCCTCCAGGAGGGCCAAACACGATAATAATCATACACGTTATCCAGAGGCGCCCCGAGACCATGGGCATCGCGTAGCAGTTTCGAGGGGCTAATCGGGACGAACATCTACATATCTATATCTTCTTGCCGCACCGTTTGTCTTGAACGCGCTCAAGTGGACGAAGCCGACACCACCGCAAACCCATGGCAAACCATGCGTCCCGCGCCCAAGTAGACGAAGCAGCACCGCGGCCAACCCCACGGCAGGGCCTGCGCTTGGGGCGGCGCTTGCCCTGGTTGCCGAGGCGCCCTCCCCAAGACGTGAAGCCGCGCGTCGGAACAAACGGCGCGATACAACCTATGTGTCACGCGCCCCATGGAACCTGTATGAGGCGATGTCACAGGAGAAGAGACGGAGGTGGATACAAAAAGTGGACAGCGAGGCGGAAGGGGAGACAGGTCGGAAATCATGAGGGACACGATAGCAGGGGCAAGGGCGAGTATCACGCGGAGGATACAGGGAGGCGTGGGGGGCGAGAAGGACTGACACGCGATCGGTGACGACGAAGGTGATTTTCACATCGCCCACGCAGGGTCGATCACGCCTTGAAGCTCATAGCCAACCTTTTGGCCTCAACTTGCGACGCCTGGTGCGGGCACGGAAAGGTTGCAGCCGCGAGCGCGCGGCCCTGCGTGGGCGTGGGACGCGTAGAGAAGCACAGGGCCGCGTTGGCTCGAGCGTTGGCTGCCCTCTCGGTGAGCGTTGTGCAGAGACGGTGCCAGGCGGCGCCGGGCCGTCACTGTTCCGGCCCCTTCTCCGTGCGGGTATTGGACGCCTGCAGGCGCACCGCCAGGTCCGCGGGCGGCTTTCGGCAGAGAAGCTTCAGCCCCGGGCAGCAGGCAGATCTCAAGGCAGTTGCCTGAAGTCGTGGCCACGGCAGCATGGCGTGCACGTGAAGCCAGAGCCAGTCCATGTCGTCGGCGTCTTTGGAGTCAGCGTCGAAAAGAACCTCGTGGCGACGAGGCGAGGCTCGCAAATGCGTCGACAGCACTGGGAGAGGCGAGGTCCCGTTTGGAGCTGCCCGTGCATGCTCAGAACGTCGCCTTGTTTCGGCGGCGAGGCGAGTGGGGGAAGTGAGAGGGGGAAGGCCATCTCAGAACGTGGTGGGACTTCTCGGAAGCCCTCGCGCCTTCTGGGAGGCTTCCTGTGCCCTCGGGGAAGGCTCAGGGAGCTTCTCAGAAGGCCGGGTGGCCTCCGAGCCTTCTGAGGAGGCCTGCTCAAAACCAAGATGCATAGACCATCTCAAGGCAACGCAGCGGAAATCTGCGCACTCGTTGTTTTTATCAGCGCACGGGCACTCGTTCAGAAGATACCGGTTTCGTGCCAACGGCTGCGGTGAATGAACAAACGCGGAAGCATGCACGAGCGGAGACAGGAGGCAAAAAAGAGGGAAAAAGGAGAGGGACGACACTCATGTTACACCATACGCGCTTCCCCCCCCTCGCTCGCCGTCGATTGCTGGGCCCCCCCGAAGCTCACGACAAAACAGAGTGCGACCGCTGCGCAGCTGGCGGCGCCCCATGGGGAGGCGCGGCCTCCCTCCTGGGAGCCGGGGCGCCACTCCGCGGGACCTCCCAGCAGCAGGGCCGTCTGGGGGCCTTGGAGCATGGCGATTCCTACGTTTAGTTGGGTGCGACCAAGAAGGCGAGGTCCCGTTTGGGTCTGCGAGAGAAGCTATCCCGCTTCACATTGTTTCAATTTGACGGAAGGGGCCACAGCGACGGATTTGGCAGTTCCCAGGGAGGCGACGTCTCGGTCGGGTCGGCGTGGTACGTGTCATCGCCGAAACTTCCCGGCGCAGTTTGCAACGTCCTCGGGCGCGAATCTTCGTTTAGGTCTGCGTAAGTCATCACCCCGTTAAATATCCCAAAAACATTCGAACGTGGCGACCGTATGGCAGTTGACAACGACCAGGGAGGCGAGGCTCCGCTTAGATTTACGTAAAGCGTCAGTCCGTTGGAATTCTGGTGAGCCTACGATATTGACGACACTGGCGCAGGAGGAAGAAACGGGGGCGCTGGGCGGGAGGACGTGAGCAGCTCTGTTCCATTCGAAAGCGAATACCCAGCACGAGTTGGAGACAACGATAACTGGTGTTTCCCCTCCTCGGTCCTCTCCCTCTCCGATCTCCCTGCCTCGCTTCTCCTTCCGATCATGGTGGTCAGGGGCAACAAAAACGGGACCTTCTGGAGCACGTCACGGCGGCCAATCGTCATGCCGCCCGTACTCTCCCATCCATCACGATCATTGCGTCCATCCTGGCTTTCCCTGCCTGTCGCTCCTCCCGTAGAGCCCCCCCCGCCGAATGTCTGGTGGGTGGCTGCCTCGGGGCCAACCACGTCCTTGCTCAGATTCTGAGGCCAGAAGTATTGTCATCCCAATGTTTACGAGCATCGCTCCAAAGATGGGGGAACCCATGTGCACCATCCGACTCGACAGGGTGTATGCCAACCCTCAAGTGCATCTCGGCGGCGAGCGAGGGGGGTCAATAAGAAGGAGAAGGCCATCTCAGAAGGCAGCGGGACGTCTCAGAAGCCCTCGCGCCTTCCGAGATGTTCTTTATGTCTTCGGGAAGGCTTAAAACACTTCTCTTAAGGCCGGGGGACTTCCGAGCCTTCTGTGAAGGCCTTCTCCTTTTCATTTCCCCCCCGCGCCCGCCGCCGAGCATCAGCAACACACTAAGATCCTCCTCCCACCAACCAACGACGTAAACATTAGCACTCAGAGGTCTGCGCGGATTGTTCGGATCGACGCTGGACCCCCTTCCCTGGCGCGCGGAACGCCGGAGGCGACGCCAGGGGGGTCCAGCGCCGGTACCAGAGATCCACATAGACCTCCGACGTTCTATGTTTATGCCACTGCTTGCTCTCATTCCTCTCGCGCTCTCTTCCCCGTCGCCTTTCGCACCCCTACTCGCCTCCGGTGCACGCCACCGCTTGTTGACCGGCGCCGGACTGTCGTGGACCACATGGGCGACGGGGAAAGAAACGGGGTCGCCTTCACCGACGTTCACGCGGAAGCTGCCCTCGCAAGGACGCGCGTGAGCGCCTTTCGTCTCCAATGTGGCGTGCCCCCCTGGCGACCCGCGCGAGCCATCGCGCAAAGTCGCCGCGTCATCTCGCGTAGGTCCCGCCTCGCTTCGTCGCCCGCTTGGCGCCCGCGGACTGGGCGCCCCTCCCTCCCTCCCCCCTCTCCCCCCCGCCCCCCTTCATCCTCCCCCCTCCGCCCCTCCCTCCCGTCCTCCCCTCCCTCCCTTCCCTCCCTCCCCCCTCCCTCCCCCCGCCCTCTCCCCGCCCTCCCCCGCCCTCACCCACCCTCCCCCCCTCCTCGCCCGCCCTCCCGTCCCCCTCCCTCCCCTCCCTCCCCTCCCTCCCTCCCCCCCTCCCTCCCCCCGCCCTCCCCCGCCCTCCCTCCTCCCTCGCCCTCCCTCCCGTCCTCCCCCTCCCCCGCGCGATGCTTCCCTGGCGGGCTTGCGCGGCCCGCACGGGGAGGCGGAGAGAGAGAGGAAGGGAGGAGGAGGAGGGAGAAGGAGGAGGAGGAGAGCAGGAGGAGGAGGAACAGGAGGAGGAGCAGGAGGAAAGAGGAGAGGAGGAGGAGGAGGAGGAGGAGGAGGAGGAGGAGGACGAGGAGGACGAGGAGGAGGAGGAGGAAGAGGAGGAGGAGGACGAGGACGAGGACGGGGACGGGGAAGGAGGAGGAGAAGGAGGAGGAGGAGGAGGAGGCGCACGGCGAGCAACGAGTACGAGGAGGACGAGGACGAGCAGGGCGAGAGGACGGCCCCCCTCCACGCCACCCCTCCCGGAGGACTGGCCCACACGATGGCCGCCCGCCTCGTGGCGCTCGCGCTCGCGCACGGCGGGGCCGCCGCGGCGGGCGCCAGGCCGCACGGGCGGCGGGCTGCACTGTGGCGCCCTCTCCACCTCCTCCTCCTTTTCTTCGCCTCCCTTCTCCTCCTTCTCCTTCTCCTCTTCCTCCTCCTCATCCTCCTCCTCATCCTCCTCCTCATCATCAGCATCCTCATCCTCATCCTCATCCTCATCCTCCATTCCTTTTCACCATTGCGAATAACTCCCCCCTGCCGCGCCCCGCCTGGAAAGGGCGGGCCGGGCGTTTCGCCTCAGTCTTCCTCGCAGTCTACGACCCTGAAGTTTGACATGTTCAACAGTTTCACGGATGGTGGGCGGCCCGTTTGCAAAATGTGGTTCTCGCGTTAGCGCGCGCATTCGTTTCAAATTTGTGCAAGAGTTTCACGGTTGGAGGACGGCCCGCGTTCAACATTGTGGTTCTCGCTTCAGCGCCGCGAACATTCTTGCTAGAACTACGCAAGTGGCTCCTTTTCAAGATGTGGTTCTCGCCTCAGCGCCGCGCGCAGTGCTTGCGCAAAACCGAAAAAGTGCGCAGGAGCTTCACGGGTCGAGGGCGGCCCGTTCTCGGAGTGTGGTTCTCGCCTCGGTGCCGCGCACAAACCGTGCAAGAGCTTCACGGATGGAGGGCGGCTTTTTGTTCGAATTGTGGTTCGCTCTTCGGTGCCGAGCACAAACGTCGGAAGAGCCTGCAGCAGTTCTGAGGGGGAGAGTGCTTCACGTCCAAGACGTTGTGTTTTGGTATGATGACGGGCTGCCAGGCCGCAATTGTCATGTTGATTCGCAGCGTTGAAGTTCCAGGAAAAAGGTTGAGGAAGGATTCGGGATCGTCAAGACGCAACACTAAAGGTGACTCACGGCGTTGACGTCCCAAGAATGGTGTTTTGGCACGGTTTCAGATTGTCCGATGGTTGTCTTTCAACAGTGAACAGGCGTATTTGCAGGTGATAATGAAGGGAACACTTGGAGGGAGGGGTTAATGCAATATCGTTGATGAGCATTGGGTTTACG